CCTCTCTTCCAGATCATTTTGAATTAGAAATACTTACGTTATGAATTTGTTCTTCAGTACTTGTTCCAACCTGTCCTTGGACAAAACAAGAAAAAAATAAAAATGTAAAGCTACTCTTAAGGGTTTAGGGGCCCAGAGGAAATTCAGAGAAGCTACTTCCCTCTAAGTTTTGATTTGTAGGTCTGCTGATCTAGATATGTGTTAAAATCTACTCACAGCCATTCAGTGCTAAAAGGGTACCTGATTTTTGGAGCTGAGGATTCAGAGGCTGCTAGATGATGGGACAGCTACAGTTTTGCCACACTTGCTAACAGCTACAGAAAGTTGTGTGTCCTGTGTTGGCCTGAACAATCACTTAAGCTTAGACTGACTTTTAGCTCTTCATAATTTGTTCTGTAACACAGGACAACACAGTAAAAAATACATATAAAATTAAGCTTCCCTATTGCCAAAACCCCCCAAAATGCATAAAAGGATTGCAGCTCTTTCCTGTCACATTTATTACCTTCTGGGCAGGAGCTACATATTTATGAAAAAGCTCAACATCACGAGGACATTTGGAGAGCACAGTGTTTGTCGCTGTCTTGAAAAGATCTTCCATAACCTAACAGAGAAAACAGGAGTCCATGAAAAATTAACACTGCTTAGATGTCCCAGACTATAAATAACACAGAACACATCAGCCAAAGAGTACAGAAGGAGTTTCTGTCCTTCTGCATGGTCAGACTGCATAAGAGGGTACCAGTTTGCTAATACTTCTAATTAGCAGGCTTGCTCAGTAGCTAAAGAGGATCAGAAACTGGTATTTCTGCTATGGGGTTAGGGCTTCAGCATCTGCTGATGGCCTTGGTATCTTCAGTCAGGCAACTTCAGTGAAAAAAGCACAGCTGAAATATTCAAGCAGCAGCCCTGGTCAGCCACAAACACACACATTACCATAATTAGTGGTGACTGGCCTCAGATCAATGATTAGTGAGGTGTCTTCCCTGGAGTGAGCAATTCTGGTTTTCTGCTTTGTTGTTACAAGAGGCAGAACTAAAGGAGAAGAGAATGAACGTGTACTGTGTAGAGCCAGCCCATCAAAAAGATCCCAGCTAGAGAGACTGCGCAGTAAGAGCAAAGCAAGGAGAACACGTACAGAGATGAGGAGAGAGCTAAAGCGGAGGACAAACCAATGCAGGGATGTTTGACAAACTAAAAAAGAGATGTGGTTTCATTTCCATAAACTAACGAGGATTAGCTAAATGACATTACCATCCAATTTGGATATACTTATCCAGTAAAATGGGCTTCACTCATGATGAAATTTAAATGCCAATTTGGTTCTAAACAAAAAAAGCCCCCACGTGGGATAACACTTCATTTTGATCAACCTGTTTTAAGAGTGATTTTCTCCTTGGGTTGAGCAAACCAGACCACTCAAGATACTTGCTGTTGTTCAGCTCAAGAGTTCCCATGACTCCTCAGAGTCTTACGCCTGCATAAAGCAGGTAACTGATACCTGTGTAGTACTGACGACCCCAACTCTTCTTCAGAATCACCCTCCTTATTCTCATCTCCTTTGTACAGACAGAGCAATGCAGCTGGGCTGCATGTCCTCTCAGCCTGTGATGGGACCAGGTTTTTCCTAACAAAAAGCACCTCTGAAAGTCCTGGCAGATTCCTGTTGTTTTTTTTCTGTGAACATAACAAGTGCTTCATTAATTGCAGAGTTGAGAGAAGTGAAGCATCCACCTATGATATCTAGGTAAGTAGCATGCCCTAGACACTGCAAAGCCCAGGGGAGATGGTGAAAAGATGAATGTGATGTTTAGTCCACAGATCTGAGGAAGAAGCAGGTCTCTGCCTTGCAAGGAACCAGATCTTACAGGGTAAGAGGAACAAAAGGCACAGAAAAGAAGAAGTTGGGCTACCAACATAGCCAAGATGAGATTTCAAACCCTCATGTTTAGAAGAACAACCTTCATCATCTGTCCCAGACTGCTGAAACACTGCTCCTCACTGGTGAACAACCTCTGCATCCCACCAGCTTAGAGAAGGTGGTGAATCCAGTCCATTTTGACACCTCTGGAGCCAAACTCAGCCTCTAGACTCCTGCATAATCTGGACCTTCTGTTTAAAAAGAGAAGATCCAAATAAAGGAACAGCATTATCATATGCAGATGAAGAGTTTTACTCCTCCTGGTACTCAGAGGAAATGAAAAGCCACCATTAGTGGCAAATAACCAAAGAGTCAGCTTTGAACTTTCTTCAAAGTAGCTAGAAAAAGGCTTATGCAAATGAAATTAGAAAACTTCTTGGCAATTCATCTGGTTTCACCATGCACAGACAAAGGGATTTTACATTAAGCTTCCTCTTTCTAGAAAATGAAAGTATCATCTGTTTTCAGAAAAGCATATTGTTTAATTAGCACTTTTCTCCCTCACTGTGCGATAAAGTAACAATTAGGTTCCCACAGCACTCAACATAAGCAACTTCCTCTTGTGGAAAAAAGATGTGGGTGGTATGGGAAAAACAATCTGAGAAACATTTCCAGGTATGAGACTGAGGTTTTAACCTGGCAAAAGAGACAGACACGTGGGTCATGCATGGGCCTCCTCACTGCTCTGATTCTTATTTATGCCAAATGTGTACTAGGCACGAACACTGGAGGGAGAAAAGAAAAGGGGAAAAAATCCACACTCTTCAACTCAGAAGTTATGGCTTTAAGCAGATAGTACAATGAAGGACTAGAAAGTAGGCTATAAGAAAAATAAGTGGAGAAGCATAGCCACTGGCTTGCTGGTTTGAGGGAGTGCATGAGCTGGAGATACAGGCCAAGTGATTGGTTTGAGTGTATCCTGAAAAACCAAGTTTGATAGGAGACATACAGGGAAAAAGCCGTGGGAATCGGAGCAAGTAGCTCATCTCAGAGGTGGGACTCCTGATGTCCAAAAGCCCATTAATTTGGTTGCTGGAGGACAGATGCAAAAGCTTTCCCTTCTCTCTCACCCACCCAGCCTTTCTCTCTTGATTTTCACCTCTCAAAGTAGTTCAGCAGTATCAGCCCTAGACTCCCCCAGTGCTGCTGTGGAGCTGAATAGTTAACTGTAAGGTTTTGATTCGAAGCAGCTCCCAGCTGTATTGTTTAATTTTAATTTGGATCTTTAGATACTGCAACTTATCATCTTCCCAAATAAAATTATGACCAGAGTTGAAATGGAGGAAATCATCAACAAAACAGTGGTAAAAGTCAGTAGCAGCAATTGAAGGTGCTGTGCACTACAATAAGTGATCAAATCCACATCTTTATTATAGAAGACACTTTCAGAAAAATCGTAAGAACTGGCAGTAGGATTTTTGTTTATGCATTTACCTGGGCCATGCATATGGATGCAGTGTAGATCACGGGGTATTTACATATGAAACATTCACCAAGTGGACCATTATTTCTTGCCTTCATGCTTGCTCACACACACTTTTCGTGTGTGCACATATACATGCAGACACAGAGGGGAGATTCACACCTGACCTTGGTCATAAAGCCTCCTCTCTCAGCTATATAACCAACAGCTGAGGGCCCATTCTAGAGCCATGCTCTTGCTACAAAAGGAAGGAGACTTTTGTCAGTCACACCACTGCTTTGCTGGCCATCGAAGCTGAACAATAAATGCTGATGGAAGTTAGGAAACAGAAACAGCCTCAGCTATGGCAGCTGGATGCCACTTCAGAGAAGGAACCTATAGCCCTGCAGATACCCCAATGTCCCTAAAAAGTGCTGAGCAAGACACTTGGAACAAACCTTTCCCATGTGTTCACCAGTGAACACTGAGAGAGTTGGGGCTGCTGAGCCTGGAGAAGGCCTTGGGGGGACCTTATTTGTGGCCTTCCAGTTCCTGAAGGAGGGAACCGAGGGACTTTTTACAAGGGCAGGTAGCAATAGAATGAGGGGGAATGGTTTTAAACTGGAAGAGGGGAGACTTAGACTGGATATTAGGAAGAAATTCTTTACTGTGAGGGCGGTGAGACACTGGCACGGGTTGCCCAGGGATGCTGTGGATGCCCCCTCCCTGGCAGTGTTCAAGACCAGGCTGGATGGGGCTTTGAGCAGCCTGGGCTTGTGGGAGGTGTCCCTGCCCATGGCAGGGGTTGAACTGGATGAGCTTTAAGGTCCCTTCCAACCCAAACCATTCTGTGATTCTGTGATTGCTCCCTTGAGACTGCAGCCAGAATTGCCCAGCTGTCTTAACCTTGGCACTGCAGACAGAAAGTACTCTTGAGTGCACACTACTCTGGAAATCAAACCACACCCCTGTTGCAGATCTAAGGTTCCTGAAACTGGCACCCAAATCAGTGCTACTGCTGCTTTCATTTCATGCCTGATTTCCCTTCTGTAAAATGAAGGTAATAATGCTCCATGTCACTGGGCTGTAATGACAGCAAATTAATTTTGATGAAGTACATAACTAGTGGAAGACAATACTTCTGCCCTCAGGACAGAGCTCTAATACTGTGTGTTAAATTGTATTCTCCATCTTAAAGAGATGTATTCTCTATCACTTAAAGAGACAGTGGTGCTAGGATGAGATCTTGTTAAGGAAGACTAACACAAGGTATTAACTGCTGAAAGTGCCCTCAGGAAAACTACCTTCTGGCACTTCATAACTTTATAGCCTAAATAATGGGGTTTTTTAGTACAGTTTTGTATGTGTGTTTGATGAAATTCAATAATGACTGCATCATATGGCCTCTCTGAGACCCCATTACTGTCATGAGTTAAATCCATTGCACTGCCAAGACAGTGGCATGAAAAAATAAAAGATCCTGACCTACAAATACAGGTACATGACACAGACCTGAAGAGAAAGGGTGGCAGCAAGCATCTGAGAGGACAGATGAGACCAGAGACCTTGGACCTCCAATTCAGGGACTGGAGGGCCGATAGCTTTAATGAGTCCAGACCCAATATGAATTGGACCCCTTCCAGTGCCTTACCCAACCTTCTGACTCCCTCTTTTTCTCATCCAGTTTGGAGGAAGTGTCTTGGGGCAACTTGACTCAACTTCTTTTCTAGACTCTTCTGGAAAGAGGTTACAGAGCCCTCTAAGGGGGTACACTTACATACAACCTGTCCACTAAAGTACATTAAAACATTACTACGTAGTAACATTAAAGTAGTCATACTATCACCCAGTAATACTATCACATTAAAGTAGTAATTCTATCACCCAGCCTCGCAGCATTGAGTACTGCACTTAGCACATGGGATTTTCCACAGAAAGTATTGTGAAACCAGTATTGTGAGAGTTTAAGCTTCTTTGTAGCACTAAAACACATTTTGGGACAGAAAAAGAATTTAGATTTGCATGGTCAAAATGCATGAGACTTCACAAGAACTGTGCTACTAATTTAGGAATAACTGAGCATTACTCTGCAATTACAGCGGGGAAAAAAGGCTGTTGCTCTAAGACTGCAAGCCCTTTGTTCCCACATACATGTAACTCAGTTATTAAATCTTTTTCCTTTTATTTTGTAAGGAAAACTATGTTTATTTTGTAGCTTTGGCAGAGAGAACTATCTTCAGCCTCATCAGTGAATGGTAAACATGTATATCTTTGTAGCAAGGCTCCTTAAAGGTTTATAAGCAAAAACTTCATGATGTCCCTGAAGAAGCTGAGCTTTCCCAGCACACTGACTTGCTGGAGTTAGAGGTATTCAGTCAACATGTTGAATACCAATTTTAAAAATAAATTTTAAACAATCCAGCTCTTTATGTGAGGACAAAGTTCAGATGCTAACGCTGACCAAGAGCCCCCAAGGCTTTCAACTGGGTGTTTTGCACCGAACAAAGAACTTGCAGATGACGACAAACAGATGAACTGCCCAACGGGCAGATACATGAGAGAACACTGGATTTAGGTCAGTTATGTGGGGAAAAAGAAACTGAACTTAGGCTTTAGAGCAGCTGTCAGATTATTTTTTTTTAAGAGAGAGATTGCCCAAGGATTTAAAAATAAACAGAACAGGAACTCCACTTCTGCAAATGAGACCGTCACAAAAATAAGCATGTTGCAATGTAGACTTGCTAAGAGGAACGCAAAATGATGGCTGCTAGGAGACTTTCTGTTATAGGGAATGATGCTTGTCAAAGGCTTCGGGACAGAGGGAAGAAGTGAAAGAGGAAAGCACAAACTGAGACTTCACAACGCCAAGCCAAGGCGGGAGAAGTTCCTCCTTTCCCTATGAATAAAAGCCCTGCACACTTCAGAACAGTTCTCAATTCTCCAAATTGTCTGAACTGACCGCCTGTACTTCAAAAGCCAAGAAATTAGGTTGCTCAGCACAAGAGTACAGATATGCTCATGCTGTGTTCAAGGGCTCAAACACCACTTAACAGAAGACCTTGCTTATCACACTAGATAAAAACAGTGAGGATTTCAATCACCGTCTGATTACCTAGAGAAACAGGAGGCTCAGGAATTAAGGCACAAACATATACATATGCTATGCTCTAAGAGTACACAAAGTTGTTCTAGAGAAAAGGAGACAGAAAAGAAAGAGCAGGATGCTATCAATGATGGAGCACAGTGATTCCCAACGGGTCAGTCCACACAGCCCAGTGTTATCAAGATATCCAAGATGCAGAAGCAGCACACACAAGAGACAGAGTATTTCAGGTCTGCGGTCAGGCCATGCTGACTCAGCAGACTGAATATGATCCAGGCTGAAGAAACCACCACCTGGATGTTATTTTATACAGCTGTAGCCAGTGCCTCAGGTCTTTTTCTTTTTTAAGGCTATTTCTTCAATAGCTTTCCAAGAAGCTTATCTGATATATGAGAGCGTGTGTGGATGTTTACTCACAAGTCCTACTGGGTATAAGCTGGGTTATGTTGAGTCTAGTAACACGCATTAGCATCCATCATGTGGTTAAACTGCAACTGAGAGGTCAATCCTGAAAAATCAAAAGCTAGCTGACTCTAAGGGTTTCAGTCTTCTGCTAAAGCCACAGTGAACAGTGTATGCCAAGAACTGAGGTTTCTACTTGAGATTTCAATGCAGGTTTCAAGGAGCTCTTTACAGGGACACACTGCATGAATACTGCTCAGATTCACTGGAGAGATGCTGAAGGTTTTGAAGGTGCCACTTTCATTAGCACCAGTTAAGCACATTTACACATTTCCCGGCAATACAGCAACTGCGCAGCCTCCCATTCAAATGGGGGCTGTGTTTTCACCTATTTCTTCCCTTCCAAATACCCTCTATGGCCTTACATCTGCTGAGCAAACCCTGATCCTTAGGAAGTCCCTGTGCAACTTCTACCTGGTTCACACAGGGTGAGAGGAGCTGCAACCCCAGTTGAGGGCAGGGAGCACAGCTCAGGAAGCAGAAGGAAGTTCTGGTGCCAGTCCTGCACAGACATTTGGAGCACCCACCTGCATGATGTCCTGGAGGCTTTCAGTGAAGGACAGCTCAGCCTCCACCATATAGAACTCTGCCAGGTGCCGGCGACTCTGTGAGTTTTCTGCTCGAAATGTTGGGCCAAAGGTGAACACATGGGTAAAAGCCCTGCAAGGCAAGAAGAAACTGGCATTAAGAGGGGTTATTCACACCTCTCCATGACTCAGTGAGGTTGTACAAACCCTGTTCAGCTTTCACTGAACACTGTTCATGCTCAGCATGCTTTTTGTAGCTGTGTGGGAATAAAAAATGACATTCTGCAGAACCAAATCACTGGAGAAGCACCTGGACATCGCCCCAGTCAGGCTCCCTGGCATCCACATCCCTTCACATCTGTCTGGCTGCAAGATCTGACCTTTCTGGGTGCTGTGACGCCCCAGAGCCCAGCAGAGCAGTGAGGGTCCTGCTGCTGGAGTTGCTGGGCTGGTGAAGCCCAGCAGGATGGATGTACGGTGTACGGCTTGCAGCCCCCCTCTAGTGGCAAGACCAAAGTTTGTTGCCAAAAAAGCTTTGAGATAAAGAACTGGGCTCCTTCCATGCAGCTAAAAATGGTTCAGCTAAAAGGGGTCCCTACTGCACAGAACACATCTGGGATATCATTTTATGCTGAAGCTACCAATGCATTTCCTATTATGAAGCTGTTTCTCCAGCAACCTTCTGGGGAGCCTATTTAAATACATCCTCTCTTGGTCTGCAGTCACATCATGCTGAGTTACACAGGACACAAAAGCCTTCTTGATTCTCCACTTCCTTCATAAGAATCCTATCAAACAGCAACACACTTGTAAAAGTTGTTTTTCTTTTTACTGTGGGGAAGCTGCACTTCAAGGAACACCTTTTACAGCGTGGGCTATGAGCACTTGGGCTCCTGGACAACCTCAACCAGCGAGAGCTTCCCAAACAGATGCTGCGATTGCTGTTACCTTCCATGGCGCATGGGAAGCAAACCGTGACTGGGAAGAGAGCAAGCTGCTTCAGAAAAACCATGGACTAGGCAGCTGCTATCTTTGGTACATCTTTAACTTGGTATTATTTTTAGCTTTGGACAGCACGTAGGAGAAAAAGAACCCGATCAGTAGAGATTAAGCACAGTTTAATGCTCAGGAAAGGATGCGTGCTAATTGCTGGGGTTGGCATTTGACTCGCATCTTGCTCTGGAAGCTTTCAACTTAAAGAGGATGTTCGCTCAGTTTCTGCACAGGCTAATTTTGTTAAACTGAAGTTTAAATAAACAACGCTACAAAAAGCAGTGTTTCTTTTCCTTTGCCGCTTATGGAGGCATCTGCCTTGCAAATAAAGGCACACACACATTCTGCTTCACTCATCTGTTCCCTTGTTCCACATGACGGTTAAAGGTTACGAGCCAAAGAAACAGCACTTTCTTTTTCCTTGAGCTCTTTGCAGCTCTTTACACCAGAAGAAAGTCCTAGCTCGAGACTTTCAATACGTACCCTGCCTGTAGGTTTCTTTTCCCCACTGGCTCTGCTTTCCCTGCTCAAACAAATAAACTTTCTGCCTCTACTTTGCTCCCGTACCTGCACTCTCATACAAGACCACAGCATCTATGATGCTATCCAGATTTTGCAGCAAACATCTTTCCTCAAGCATCATTTTTGACATTCCTCTTTTCCCTCTGCTGCTCTTCTCGCTTAATGCGATGTTACTGTAAGCTTCTGACGTCACTTGATCATCCTCCTTCAAACTGCCCTTTGCTATAGTGTCTATAAAACCTCAGCAATGTTTAGATTAAGTGATGTACCAAGACTATTACTCACTGCACAGGTCAGTATTATCTCATCAGTTCCCTGTGCTCCCCCATCTGTAGCCATCTGTTGTCCTGGGTTAAAGAGAAATGTGTGTTCTTCCTCACAAGCCCTTGTTGTTTTTTGTTTTTGTTTTTTTTGGTGTTTTTTTGTTTGTTTTTTGTTTTTTTCCATGCTCCTACAGCACCTGGCACAACAAGGTCTTGGATCCAAAGCTTAAAAGCCTTGACTGTTGTAGCAATACAAACAACAAATATGAAACAATGAGTCACTCAGCTGAAACTGGTCAATGTTTAAGGCAGAACTGGTAAAAACCTTTTGCTTTCAAGGCCAGAGAGCTCGGCCTGTAGTGGGAAACAGGAGATGCTCTTGTGCTACCTGTGCCCACATTTCAGGCTTTTGCTAAAATATTTGGGGCTCTTCAGTTGAAGAATATTCCCTAAATAGATCAGTTTAGTCACAAATTCAGATTATGACTGGGCCAGGAGTGGACACAAGACAAAAATATTTTGAAAACCTTGCAGTGGCTGCAGTGCCCACCCAGGATTGCTGGGTTTGATGTGCAGGTCCTCTAATTTCTCCCTGGCATGAAGTCCTCAAAAAGTAACACTTCAAACTAAAGTGTGCTACCAGCTGGCGAGCAGGAGATGCTGTCCCACAGAGCTGCAGTCTGGCTTCAGAGAGACACACATTTCCTAAAATCACAGAAAGGTTTGGGTTGGAAGGGACCTTAAAGCTCATCCAGTCCAACCCCTGCCATGGGCAGGGACACCTCCCACAAGCCCAGGCTGCTCAAAGCCCCATCCAACCTGGCCTTGAACACTGCCAGGGAGGGGGCATCCACAACTCCAAGCCTCTCTGTGTCCGAGATGGAGCTTTCAGGAAGACAAGTGCTGCAAAACTCCCACAGGAACTGATTTAAGTCTTCAGATCCTACTGGGATCAATCTTCTCTAACTTATACACTGAGCGCCATCTACATTTACAAAATCAAACATTAGCCCTGCAACTTCACAGACTATCCCAAGGTGCTCAGGGATAAGGGCTTTGAGAGAGCCCATAGAAAACGTAACATCACTGGTGCAGGACTAAATTTGCCTGCCTGCCCCTTGGAAGAAGAAGAAAAAAGAAAATTCAAACCCCCAAATAAACCCACATCTGCAGAGAGGGGAGGAATCACTCATTTCTCAGGCTAATTGTAAAAAGAAAAGATAGATTCAAATAACTGTGAGAATTTCACCACGATGCTGGGACCCTGGCAAAGGGAAGGCTGCCAGATGTCACGCTGGCAAACCCATCAAAGGAGCGCAGTAAATGCAAGTCATCTGGTAACAGCAACACAGCGCTGACCAGAGGCCTGGACACAACAAGGAACAGGGCTAAAAATACATATAGGCACTGCTACCAACCCCAAGCATGGACTATTATTTCTCATCCAGGCATTCATGCACTGTTTACTGTGCTCTGCCATTCAAGACATTAACCAAATGCATGCTACATAAATATGACCTTTATTTGTACTTTATCTGCTATTAAAAAAACATATCTGTAATTTGATACACTGCTGTATCACACTGAGCATGTATAAATATATCAGAAAAGAGGGATGGGAGCTGACTCTGCTCTGATTTCATGGTACTGAGGGCAAAACCAGTCATTTTGCACTGTGTGCATTCAGCACCTAGCACAAAGGAGCCTCAGTCCAGGGCTGTGCCTCCTATGCTCTACCATGCAAATAATCAATCATTTAACATTCCCAGACCTCTGCAAGACTTCCAGCATTTAAAAATAACTGGAAAGTTCTGGCTAAGCCTCCAAAAGTACCTAGGTCAGCTGGGGTTGTGGGCACTCAAGAGTCTGTAAAAAAAATAAATTAAAAATCAGTAGTGCTAATTCCTCATCTCTAACAAAAGCACACACAGGATGGGGAAAAAAAAGAAAAAAGGCAATGAGCCCTTTTCCTTCACCATTACAGGCAGAGCAGTAATGTCTGTAATGCTGTCCTTGTACGTGCTACCAAAGAGCACAAGAGAGGCTTTGAAAGGAGTCCCTGTGCAGTTGGCTTCCCCCGGATCAGAGCTCTGGACAGCAATCCGCAGTTCACAGCCACTGCCGGGGTCGCCACCAGGAGAAGGCACAGAGCCACTTAATTAATTGCTCCCTTTCTGGGACTGCATTTTGCTCTGGGAAAAAAGTGAGAGCTTAATGTGGAAGCCAAGAGAATACCCACAGCGCTCCCTCCGACACACGGAAATGCTGCGAAAGCGTTGCTGGAGCACAGCCATCCCCGGCACAGACCATCGCTTGGTGGAGGCTCCTTGTACAGGCTGTGTTTGTGATCTCCACCTTACGAACACGCAGGAAGGGAGAAGCTTTCCCCTTTTCACCCTTATTTTACAAGCTACTAAAACTCTCTTCAGAAGCAGCTGCCTCTCCCACTTTGAGAGCTTTACGCCGCACAGAATGAAAGCTCACTTCATTTGAACTTGTTGACAATTCATTATTGAGGCAGTGATAGAAACCAATAGAGAAGTATAAAGTGTCTCTGCCCAAAGCTGCTTGAAGTCATCCTTTTAATTAAACTCACACAATGTTTGTAGGCCTGAGCGTCTCTGCTTTACTGGCAATTTTTACACTGCAGTCCAAATACAATTAATTGTGCCGATGTTTCCCAAGCCAGGAATGGATTGTGCTCCTTTTCTGAGCCAGGACTCCGTGCTGCTACTGGAGTAATAAAGACTTATTTGTGCTGTCGAACCGAGGGGATATAACTCAAAGCAAGGCCATTAATCATGAAGAAGCAATCCCTGCACAGTCAGCTCGCAGCCTGTGCCAAGGTCACACCACACCGTAGCGGCACAGCTGGAGGCAGAAGCTGGTGGTTGTGACTCAGGGCTGAGCCCTAAACCACACCAATACACACAGCCACTCATTTGTACAGTGCCCCTGTTCTCATCCCAAAATGCTACAGGTGCCTGCATAAACACAAATACAGTGATTATTCTGACAAGGTCTGCAGTGAAGAGTTAAGCTGAAAGGTGATTTGTGCCAAATCTTATCTTTAGTTATGCTGAATCATAGAAAGGTTTGGGTTGGAAGGGACCTTAAAGCTCATCCAGTCCAACCCCTGCCATGGGCAGGGACACCTCCCACCAGCCCAGGCTGCTCAAAGCCCCATCCAACCTGGCCTTGAACACTGCCAGGGAGGGGGCATCCACAGCTTCCCTGGGCAACCTGTGCCAGTGTCTCACCACCCTCACAGTGAAGAATTTCTTCCTAATATCCAGTCTAAAACTCCCCTCTTCCAGTTTAAAACCATTCCCCCTCATTCTATCGCTACTTGCCC